ATGGCTATGCAACCTCTGTGAGGCATCGTAGAAGCTCACATCAGAGAAGAGCCAACAATTCCTCCCTCCAAGAGGGTTGGCCAGAAGCAGTGTAGACAGTAACACCCACTGACTCAGCAAGTTCACCAGCAGTGCCCACTGACTCAGCACTTTCGTTGCTGGAGACTCACCCTGAGGAGATAGATAGATGCTCTACGGAAGGAACAGGCCATATTCGTCAAGATGCTCATGCAGCATTACTTGAAATAGCCTAGCCAGGGAACCACCCAACTAGCCTGTGGTAAGGAAGCACTAACTACAAGATTATTATGCACCTATTAAAAGCCATGTGGAAACATGGACTTGACACTGATATACAACAAAGGGAAACAGTGCAGTCCACACCAGTTAGGTCCTTAAGTTTTTCTCACTGCAGGGAACCCGCAGACATGAGAAGAGCTGTGCTGGAGCAGTGTTATAGTATGAGTGACTTGTTCTCTGAATCACTTACCAATTACTGTTTATTGTGGCCTGGGTCAGCTATGAGGTGTGTATATATGTGTGTGTGTGTGGGGGAGGCAGAGAATAGGAATGCATTTCTTGTTCATCGCCCGCTTCAAATCCAATGTATATTTCCCCAATATCCTTCGATTCCGTCACAGCCATCATTTTCTAACAAAAACCAGTTAATGAAAGAAGAAAATGAACGAAGGCACTCCTCCTACTTCTGGTACATGTGTATCAAAACTTCCTCCAGCTATATTATATACATGTTAGAAGAAACCCAAATGAATTATGGTAATGAAATTTGGTCTTATAGTGTCTTAGTTTCCTCTGCAGCAAAAACATTAAAAAAAAAAAAAAAAAAAAACCAAACCCATGTTTCTGTTTTTGTTTTTGTTTTAAGTGGGGAGGGGGTGGGAGTGGAGTTAGGACTTGTTACTAATCTTGTGGCCGAATAGTTAAGTGTGCCTAATTCTGAAAGCAGCAAGCTAAATTATGCAGTGTCAAGAGCTGCAACTCTCGTACCTACACCATGTCGTCTCTACCGGCATGATTTTAGCTTTACAGCTAAAAAACTCTGCCAGGAAACCTAATAAAAGGAAGTGGAAAATATTTCTGTTGTGGCCAAGCTACCATTTGAGAACGACTTTTAAATATGTTCTTCACTATGTGCAAAACTGACAGCAGATACGTAATGAAAGCCCCAAGGGACAGCTTCCTTTTAATCTTTTTTCAGAGCAAACCAATAAAGCAGTCTTTGAGACGTGAGGTGATTAATACTCCTTGGATGGTTCTGAATTTCTTTAAGCCAGAGTGCTGTTGCTAAGAACACAGTTGTGAACCAGAGGAGAGCGAACCGTCGTCTTCATCATTAGTTCATCTGCTCCCAAATAATGATGTGTCTGTCATAGGCCACACTTGCATCTGCCTTGAATGCTGTTGCTTTGGGTGATTGTTAAATGGAGGAATATACAGACACCAACATGTTCACACTAAAACAAACTTAATCCCAACCCCCCAACCTAGGAATATGTCACCGAGGATAAATGGGACAAGTAGTAATTACCCAGGGTTTCAGATCTGTGTGAGCAATCAGGATGAATAATTTAGAGTATAAAGTGGACTTTTTAAATATCTTGCTTGAGCTACTCAGACAGACTTTCTATGCAGCCTCAACTACTGCCGAGTAATCACAGGCACGTTTCCCCATGGGGTCTGTGCTGTGTGAACACGTGTGTGTTTACACAGTTGCAAAGTGCCCAGCTCAGGACATGGGGCCCTGTTCAAGCCAAATGTTAGGACCAATATTCCCTCACACTGTAATGTTCCATCTGACCTTGAATACACAAGGCCAGATTGAACCTTCCTTTATGCTGCCTGCCATTAAAGGCCAGTTCCTGTCCTTTTCATTACCTCCCCTGAATACATGCTCTTCAGAGTGAGGGTTCTCAAACCATACTTCTTCAGAATGTCCTCTCTTTGCTAGGGCTGACTCCAATTTTCTGTAGTTTGCATTGACTCTTTCCTACCCAGCTGCTTAAGGCCTATAGCTGCTTCTAACTCATTTGCCTGTAACATCTGTGTGATTCTTCAAGTGTTTTCTGTACTTAATCAGTTTCTGGCATGACTAGCAAACTAGTCCCTGCCTTAGTGTCAGATGTATGCATACATACAAGCAGATAGACAGACACAAACACACACACAGATACACACTGTTAATATTTAAGTTTCACATAAGGATATTTCTACTGCTCTATTATGAAATTACTATAATACACACCACAGAAATCCGACTCTGGGTTTAGGTGAGTCCCTCATTAACTGTGTGGCCTTGTATAGACCCCCTACTACACAGACTTGACCAAAGGTCTCTCCTCTCTGTTCTGGTCATCTTTGGTGAGGATAGATAACATATGCTGCTGCATCTCAACTGCCCATATTGAAATACTCTTAAACCCAAGGCATACAGGTCAAAGGTTAACATTTCAAAACACAGCATTGGACCTGACAGACACAATGCTTCGTGGTTATGAAATGAATGAAGGGATGCTTATACTATATAAACCTGTACAGATCATTTACCTGAGCCAGATAAAGAACACCAAAGAAACGTTCTATTTCATTGGGCAGGATATGTAGTTGGACCCCTGAGTTCCACACTGTGGCATGAATCACACACCACCCCTCGATGATCGTTGATCAAATAAAACCCTGAACATGGTAGTTTCCCTCTTCCCTGGATGAGGTGGCAGACTAGAGAACCCCGACTATTCATGTATGGCTGCACTTTGGTTCCCTGTGTGATAACATCCATAACTGTATCAGTAATAATCAAGTGAATATTTAAAGGGAAGGATACATAAGCAGAAAGTAAGCTTATCTTTACTGACATCTCAGCCATCTACAGAGAAGGCGGGAAGGCTAATCATGTTGCTTGGGGACTCAGCAGAACTTACTTGGCTAACATAAGAGGACCAATTTAAACCACCGTCCCCAAGTGTCACAGCTAGCAGTCTACTCATACAGTGGTTTTGGTATCCCCACAGAAGGCCAGTTCAGTCCTGAGCCATCCACAGGCTGGTAATAATGTTGCCCTGCAAAATTTGAAAGCAACTTGCTAGGTCATTCATAACAGCCATAAGCTTTGGTGTAGCCTGTGCACACTGCCTGTCTACATCTAAAAGGGAGAACACAGTCTCTTTCCAGTTTACTAAAGAACAGCCAACCCTGACGGTAGATTAAAGATTGAGGCACGGCACAATTTCCAAGCAAGCTGACTTGATCTTGTGCCAGAGCTGAGAAGGAAGCCACCGAAGCCTGGGTTCAGGGTCACTGCTGCCTCTGAAGGGCAGTGACGCTCATGAGAGACGCACAGTGAGCACAGGTCACAGGAACAGGCTCTTTGGATGCATTCACACCCCGTAGGAGAAGAGGACGCTGGCAACAGTTTCCGCTCATCCTGCAGCTCCATTAGGAAGCTAGAGCATGTCTCTGGGAGAAAGATACTGTGAGAAAATATATTCACAGATGTACCTCTAGGTAAAAGAAGTGCCCGTGACTGTTTACAAGAAAACTACATGTTAACAATGAACTGTGAACACATGATGTCATCCTCCAAGATTAAGCACCCTTAGCACTTTTAGAGCACTTAAAAAAAAAAAAACCCTCTAGTTGCTATAGCAACTCGATGCAGCTCTTAAAAGGGGATTTTGAGGGGGGTCATTTTATATCTTGAATCACCATAACAACATGATGTATTTTTAAAGGGTATTTTTATCTAATTTGTGTAGACTTTGGGCTCTATTTAAAATAATCAGATCAAGCATGACACGGGAGAAAAATGATTGGAGGCAAGGAAGCACTTCCACAGACTATACATACACACAGAGAGAAATGCAGAGACGTCTCTCCCTCTGTGCATATCCCAAACAAACCTGCTACCTGTCTGCCGGCCTCCAGGCAGCAGTGGGCAAGGTAGCCCATGTCCCGAACTCTGAGCAGGCAGGAGGGAAAGGTGTTTATAAAGTTCCTCCCTTCTGCGGCAACCAAGTCCTGCTCCTTCCTCCCGAATTGCACCAGCGGAAGAGGATGTCTTGGGGTGACTAGTGTGACCAGCAAGAGCTTCTCCTACCCTGAGACTCAAAAAGGAGTGGGTGAGACACAACCGAGTCTTGTCAAAGTATGTTCTTCTGCACTCGGTAGAGCTAAATAAATGGGGGAGGTGGCTGTTTTACATGATGCCAACCGCCTGGGAAAAGGAGTAGGTGGGAGTGGGTGGACACAGTGGTGGCTGGAGACTGTCTCTCCAGAAGGAGCTACAGGGGACTTCAATCTAGCTGAAAAGGAGGGTTGGGGAGAGGGGATCTCAAGAACCTGTACATCCTCCCCAAGGTTAAGAGAACCTGAGCTGTTTATACCAAAAGTATAACGTGAAGGCGACTGTTCCCTGGCTGTCCTTTGGCATGTTGATTGGAGGTGGGGGAGGGGAGTGTAAAGACAAGAAGTCAAGAAGTCAGGGGCATGGGAAGAGAACAACCAAGGCCAACGTGTAAAACAGGTTGAAGAGCTGGCTTGTGAATAACGGACTTGACTTTGAGGGGGTGGAGCAGTGTGGACAGGAGAGGGGAATGTAAGGAGGAAATTAAAACGCTGGGAATGGCTTCTGTAATCTCCGGCTGAGGGTAGTGAGGCCCGAGTGGGGTGGGAAATAGCAGCCCTTGACCCATGTTCTCACAAACCCCCTTACAGAGGAGCAGAACCTGGACATGGAACGCTCAAAGTGCTTGGCGCCTGGCTGACACACTAATGACAGCTGACAGGTAAGAGCTAGAGGTGGTCCATTCATTTGGGCCACCTCTCGCTCCGAAAGCAGGAAAGAAAAGTAGGAGGACCAGGGGACGGAGAGTGAGACCAAAGTAAGCAAAGGGTGTCAGAAGAGGGCCCAGCCCGAGATCGAGGGAAAGGGCAGTAAGTGACTGACAGGCGCGCAGAGGAAAGGCGCGGGGCGCGCCGCTCACCTATGGTTGAAACCACGGTGCCCACGAAGTAGAAGGCTCCGGGAAAGTCCCAGCGTGGTCGCAAGGCGTCGGCTCGGACCCCGGCGGCCAGCGCGGCCTCGTAGTGCCGGAGGAAGGCGCGCAGCTCCGGCTCCGCCACGCCGTGCGCCGCGCTGAAGTTGCGCAGCGTGGCGCCCCAGCGCGCCCGCGCCTCCGCCTCGCCCGGGCTCTCGAGCGCGGAGAAGACCGTGGCACCCGCCACCAGGTAGAGGCCGATGAGCGCGGCCAGCAGCACGAAGCGCCCGGTGTCCTCGTTGAGGTGCGAGCGGCGACAGCAACAGCAACAGCAGGAGGGGCGAGGCAGGCGGCGGCGGCAGCGGCGGGGCGGGGGCCGGGGGCTGCGGGAGGACATGGTCCGCAGCTCAACCCCGGGGCTGGGGCGGCGCTCGGAGCCGGGGCCGTGACATCCCCGCCGCAGGAGCAGGAGAGTGAGGATGGTAGCCAGAGGTCTGTCTGGGGCCGCCGCTGAGCCCCTCTGCAGCCTCCCCGGAACCAGGACGGCACGGAGCCTCCGCCTCCTGCCGGGAGGTCAGGCCACACACCGGTCGTGCGGCCCAGCGGACACCCGGGATGGAGCTCTCCTCTCCGCTCCCCGACGCTTTACCGCCTCAGCTTGTCACTTGCTGCCCTCGGGCTCCGGGCTCCGAAGCTAGGCCAGCGCCGCCCGGTGGCCGGAGTCCACGGGGCGCCGGGCCGCATACTCCTCTCCGGACTGGCCGTGTGGTTGCGGACCGGCTGAGCCGTGGAGTCCGGACGCCTAGGGTCAGAACACAGTGTCAGGGCACACAGAGTCCCCGGGGGCGTCTCATGAGGCTGCCGGTGCTCGGTGGCGCCTAGGCGCAGGCTGAGCGGGCGATCCTGTTCCACCGCTGGGATTAAGCTGGCTTGGGAGCCTCAGAGCCGAGCCGAATCCTCTGGGGAAGCGGTCCTTTCCCTTCCCTGCTACCGCCGAAGAGCTACCCGGCACGGAAAGGCGGAGTCACCGGAGCACGGGGCGGGGTGTTGGGGAGGGGTGAGTAAGGAAGGGAGGAAGGGGTGGAGAGTGAGGCTGCCGCGACGCCTCCGGGTCGTTCTGGTGGCACCAGCGCGTCCCACTGGAGCAGGTGTCCCACTGCGGTGCTGGCTATCAGCGCGTTAGATAACCGCGTCCTTCCTTCCCTGCGCTTGGGCTCGGGAATCTCTTCCCTTCTCAAGCCACTGGGAAACTTTGCTCAACTTGGTGCTTTGAGGTCTCGGGGGCGGGGGCCATCGGGAGCCAAACCCGACCTCCGCTTCTCGGGTTCCAGCCTGAAGTTTAAGTTCCTTTTGCTCACTCTTTTGTTCCTGGATCCGACCGCTGCGCCAGGACTCTGGTGGAGGAGTCGTCTCGGGGGCAAAGACACGGCCTGGGAACCGAGAACAGGCTCCGGGCGCGGCGGGAACCAGGGCATCTGCTCCTCCTCCCGACCGAGCGGCCGGCCGGCGTCAGCACCGCGGACAGCGCATCGGTGCGGCAGACCGGGTGGGAGGCTCTAGGTTGCGGTGCCGCCACCCGGGGCAAGGTTGCTCACCCGGCACCGCGATGCTCCCCAGACCCTACTGTTTCCCCTTCTACCTCCAGATTGTCCTCTACTCCACCCTGAAGCAGGTGCGGTGGCCGAAACAGCGTGTCGCCAGGGTGCGGACGCTGCGGAATAGAGCCAGGAGGAGGAGTCAAGCGCAGGTGGGGGACTTGGGGCCACCAGAGCAGGAGGATCATAGGCCTGACACTACTGGGGCTTCTCTGTTACCCCAGCTCACCCTCCCTAAGGCCGAGAGCCTGGATACACCCCGGGTGCAGTGGAGGGTGAGGAGGGGAGAAGCTGGCTAGGAGAAACGTTGTGCTTTGGAATGCCCTAGAGAAGCCTCCTCCGCCCTACATCTGAGGGGAAAGAGAGTGAGCGAAGCATGCAGCCTCCTGTCCTTCAGTCCTTCTCTGCCCGGCAGGACACAGTTTGACTGGGGTCATAAAGTTATACAGTGAGGAACACCCTTGGTATAAACAGATAATCCCGCCCTCTCTGGATTTTGTCCCCTTCCCTCTTTTATTGGCTACAAAGAGGATCCTGATAATGATATGATATAGATAACAGGGAAGAAAAATACTGATGGTGATTTCTTAGACACTCCAGGTAGTTGAGAGAATTCTGGCAAAATTCAGAGCTGCCTCCGTCCCACCCCCGGCCCAGGGCCAGGCTCAATAGCCCCTACTGCAGGAAAATGGCACCATCTACTCAGAGCGGTGCTTGCAGCATGGTAGTATTTAATTGTTGACCACTTACTGAATATTTCAGCTATGAGGCTGTGATCACCCCACCCTAGTGTGGAGGCACCGGCTGGCACTGGAGGCTGCAGAGGTATGGAATGCTGAGTGGACCTGTTTGGGAATGCAGATTATGACTTGCATCCCTTAGAGATGCTGCTCCAGTACATGGGTAGAGGGGACAGGGCTGTTCTTGGTATGCACAGAGGCACAGAGAAACCCACTCCACTGTGGTTGGATGGCTAGTTGTTGTTTAAGGAGGTAAACCCAAGAGTCCTGAACACCCTGATTCACTGTGGGTACAGTGGGAGCTTTATCCAATCCCCAACCATCACCACCGCAAACTGTTATTGTCAACTGTTCCCTTCCCAAGCCTTTGCCTCCCCTCAGCTTCCTGCAGGAGTCATCCCACCTGACCGTTCCCCCAGGCAGTCCCTGCAGACAGTAAGAATGGCCTGAGACAGCCAGAGACCCCTGGGACTGTGGTTTCAGGGGATGTCTATGGAAACTCCAGATGCAGCTGAACCACACTGCCAGGCCTCTCCCAGCTTTGCCCAGACTCTCAGAGCTCTCAGAGCAGGGATGGCGTGTCCCTCGCCTCTGGGTCCAGCTCTTGCCTAGTTGGCAAAGGGCCCACCATGTTCTCCGACCTGTGATTCTAGCTTGATTAGCAGAAAACCATTGGCATCGATTTCAACACCGAGTGGCAAATCTATTTATGTAATAGAGAAATGATGAGTTTGTTGCTCATAGATGTGGGCCCCTTAGGGAAGCAGCCCCATGATGAATGTGGTTTTTGTCCACTAAATCAATATCTAAGCCACTGACTGTGCCAGCTGGCTATCCCCAGCATTTTAACCTCAGTCCAGAATTGTCACAACAGCCCTAAAGATAGGGTTTGCTGTGGCAAAATTCCCCCACACAGGTCCATCCTAACTGCCAGTATTGTTGTCATCCTGCCCATCTAGTCGTTTTACTGACGCCTCTGAACCACACTCTCCAATGGCTTCCTAACACTATATGAAGTTGGTGTTTAAGCCTTTGGGTTTGTGGTTCAGTGCCTTTGATTATGTGGTTCCTGGAGTTGGTGATGGGGGTTGGAGGTGTTTCCCAGCTTTGCCTATTATCTCTTGCTCTATAAGCAACCTGCTTCCAACCAGTTCCTCAGGCCACTGCTTATGCTGTGGGCCCCTCTCCTTCAGCTTTTCAAATAGGGGACCAGCTTAGATTCTCTCTTCAAATTTTGATCTGATGTGATTGTGTGTGCACAGACATGTGCAAATGCACACTACTGCATGTGTGTGAGGTCAGTAGACAGACGTGTGGGAGTTGGTTCTCTCTCCTACCATGTTGGCTCTGAAGAGCGAACTCAAGTCATCATCAAGTTTGGTAACCTGGTGCCCTTCCTTGCCCACTGAGTTGTCTTGCCAACCCAAATTTTCTTCTTCTCACAAAACTTTTCCTTTGTGGGAAATTTTGACCCAATTGCTGGCATTTCAGCCCCAACCTTCTTGTGTCTGCCATGTTCTTAGGAACGTCAGACAGGACAAGTGAGCAGACATAGCCTTTCTTCTTTCCTCCATTTCCTCTTTTCTTCCCCCCATCTCTGTCTTCTATAAAGGGAAATACAGTGCTACAGCCTTAGCCAGGAAAACCAGGTAAAGGCAGATTCAAACTCAATTGGTGTCTCCATGCATAGAAGACAGCTGACAGTCACAGATTGTCTATCTACTACTATGGAAATACCAACAGGCATGGCAGTAACAAGTGGGAACTGTTAGGTCAGCTAGGATGTGAGAAGATAAAACATGGTGTGTCTGTACAACAGAACGTTCAGCAGTAAGTGGAGTGGAGTACTGACACAGCCAGTAACATATAATAACCGTAAAAGAATTGTTCTTCAAAGAAAAAGTGTCACAAAAGAGCACATAATATGAATTCCAGGTCTATGACATGTCCATATGAGTAAATCCACAAAACGGAAGAGGGTCAGTGGTCACTTTGGGGTTAAGGATTGTGGTGGTTTGAAGAAAGTGATCCCATAGACTCTAGGGGGTGGCACCATTAGGAGGTGTGGCCTTGTTGGAGTAGGTGTGGCCTTCTTGGAGGAAGTGTGTCATTAGGAGATGACTTTAAGGTCTTAAGCCAGACCCAGTGTGGCACTGTCTTGTTGCCCCCTGATGATCTGTATGTAGAACTCTGAGCTCTTTCTCCAGCAGCCGCCAAGTCTGCCTGCATGCTTCTTACCACGATGATAATGGACTGAAGCTCTGAAACTGTGAGCCACCCCAATGAAATGTTTTCCTTTATAAGAGTTGCCATGGTCATGGTGTCTCTTCACAGCAATAGAAACCCTAAGATGGGGTGGATGTGAATGACAATGGATGAGTGTGAGTTACTATTTGAGGGCAGTGAAAATATTCTAAAGTTAATTATGGTGATGGCTGTATGATTCTGTCAAGAGACTAAAAAGCACCCAGTTGTGTATTGTAAATCCTGGGATTGTATGCTATGTGAACTAAAGCTCAATAAAGCTGTTTAAGAAGCACAAGTATAATTGAGTTGACAAGTTTTTATTTAAAAAATAGAGGTAAAGCCAGGCATGGTGACTCATTTTCATAATCACAGTGCTGTGGAGGATGAAGCAGGATGGTTATGAGTTTCAGACCAAGTTGGCTGCATAGTTAAACTATGTCACAAACAAATAAAAACATGTTCCCCCAGGGAAATAATTTCTTCTTTTCTCCCTCCCTCCCTCCCTTCCTTCTTCCCTCCCTTCCTTCCTCCCTTCCTTCCTATGTTGAACAGGCTGGTCTACAACTCATAGAGATCTACCTGCCACTGTCTCCTGGGTGCTAAAATTACAGATGTGTACACATATGCCCAATGAAAAATAATTTATTAAAAAATAAAGAAAGTAGTGTAGAGGGGGCTGGTGAAGCTCATGTGGTTGAGTGCTTGCCTTCTGGGTTCAATCCAAGTACCGCATAAAACCCTGTGATGGCACATGTCTGAATCCCAACAGAGGCAGGGGGATCAGATGTTCAAAATACATAGTGAGCTTGCAGCCAGCTTAAGCTACTCATAACTTCTGTCTCAAAAACAACAAAACGGTGGAAAATCTGAGCCAGTTTAGCTGTAGTAAAGAGAGAAATGGTTTTAAAATTCTGTTTGAACAAAGGAATTTGTTCCAGAAAATGCTTTCTTTTAAAAATTAATCTGTGTTGGCAAATTTTTTTGTTAGAATTCTGCATTCCAAGTAGTGGATTTAGAATGTGCTGGGTACCTCCGGACCTTATTGATCTTCTCAGAACAGCTCAAACACGATTATCTGCACTACTTTACACATTCTGGATATCAGCCCCCTATCTGAGGTGCAGCCTGTAAAGACTTTCTCCCATTTGGGGGCTGTTGTCTATGCTCTACAGACACTTTCTGTTTTCATGTACCATCTGTTGATACTGGAGCTTGCTCTCTTCATCACTGTAGCTCCATACCATAGTTTGAGGTCTGGTGTTGTTTACTCCAGCATTGTTCTCACTCCTTAGGATTGCTTTGATGATTTGTGGCCTTTTCTGGTTCTATATGCATGCCTTGGCTTTTTTTCTAGGCCTGTAAAATATGGCATGGTAATTTGATAACTACTACATTAATTCTGCCTATCCAGGAACATGGAACATTTCCTCATGTTTTAGCACCATCTGGGATTTTCTTTGTCAATATCTTTCATTGTAGAGACCTTTCACCTCTTTGCTTAAACATATTCCTAAGTACTCAATTTTGGGGGAATTAATTTACAATTTATTTATTAAAGAGTAGACTGAGCATAAGTAAAGATATATATATATATATATATATATATATATATATATATATATATATATATTCCTCCTACAACTTCATGGTTTGTTAGGTTGAAGAGTTTTCTAGTAGACTCAATAGGGTGTTTTAAGTAAAAA